TGCTGCTACACTTTTAAACTCTCTATCCATAGATTAAGACTATGGGAATCCCCTGAATTACAGGGAGAAAAGTTGGACACAAGGAGTCCTCTGAAGTTTAGCATTTTGGCCAGCTTGGAACTCCTGTGATATTAACCTTAATTCCACATTTACTTGTAATTTCCTTTCCCCTTCAAGCCTTTTCAGTAGAGTCTGGTGGAAGAAAGTTAGGTTTTGTTGTTCAGATCTTTATGCTGCCTTTTCCCATATATTCAGTCTTATTCCCAAACTCTTGTATTTCAAGGTAGAGCAGAAATGGATTTGGTACAGAGAAAGGCAATCAGTATGACAAAAGATCATATAGGGAGAATGGATATAGTAGTCTACTGTAGACTGGAATAAAAATAGCTGAGGGAGGACATGCTCAATGCATAAGGAATCATAAATGGTGGTAAGAAAATAGGGAATGCTTATGCAGTGTTTCTCACAGTACAGAAGGTAGGTAGCATCAAAAACCTAAGCAAAAAGAAGCTAAAACTGTGCAGAAAAGTGTTTTGTTTATGTGCAACTTGGCTGTGGAACTTGCTGCCACAGGCTGGTTGTGAAGGTCAAAAGCATAAAAGGTTCGAAAGGAATTAGACGTAATCACAGAAGAAAAATCTGTCAGGTATTACTGAATACATAAAGATAAAACCACTGTTTCAGGAAGCACCCAGTCTGCAAATTAAAACTGGGAGAGTTTAGTGGAGGAAAAGGCACTATATTTTTTCTACCCTTTCTTTAAGAATCCCCCACTAACTTCTGTCAGAAATAAGCTACTGAGTAAAAAAGACCTTGATCTGACCCAACATACCTGTTCTGCATTCCTGATACTCTTTTCAATTGCCTTTGCAATTCTGAAGAGAGACAAGAAGATTATGGTAGATTGAAGGCATATAAGGGGATTTTTGCTTTTCACCTGTCTTTGCAGAAAGTATGTCTCAGCAAGGCCAGAGGGTCTTGTCTCTTATTTCTATCCTGGCATGGATCTCAAGACTTTACTTTTGCTTCAACTGTTCTTTATAGAATAAATGATATAAGGTTCTGTTGAACAGACAGTGCCGAATATACACTAGCTTTATTCACAGCTCCCACTCCAGAGGGTTTTTTCCCCTAACTGTAATCCCTGCGCTCAGCAGCACCCGTTGTCATTGTGCTTTGCAGTGCTTTGCCTTTGTTTGGCAAGGTCGTGCTGTGGAGGGTGCAGAAAGCAGCACCTGCTCAGGAGCGACTTCACTGAGCACTCAGCTAGCCTCTGGCAACTCACTGTGTAACCAGGCAAACCATGACAAATGCCACCCTATCATCAGTGATGTGGTTACAGTCTAGACAACCAAAACTGAAAACAAACCCTGAAAAGGGTCTTGCTTGTCCAAGTCTTGCTGCCCTCTGGGAGAGGGAAGAGTACCTTCCTCTGGTACCAGGTGTCACAAAGGCGCTGGTGAGCCCGTGTTCCAGATACAGCCTCCTTCACTTTTTTTGAGCAATTTGTCCTACATAAGGGGAGTCAAGTGTACAGAGCTTCCTGAGGAAAACTGAGCCCAAGATTCTTTTGCAAGTCTGGTCATCATGGGGATGCTTCTGGGGAAAGAATAATTTTGAAAAATCTGGCTAAGCACCATTTCTGAACCATGGAACCAGGTATTTTTCCTGCCATTAGAGGGTATTTCTTAGTATTTTGTAATTAAACTTGAAGTTCTCAGGGACATAGCCTGTCTATTTCATTCACACTGTCTGGCGTCTGCACTGTACAATGAGATCTTGACCAAGCATATTGTTAAAATGGCCAAAGCACAGGTAACACATGAGTGATAATGACTAATAGCAACTATATTTGATTATCTCACAGTCTAGCATGCCTTTGTCTCAAACTTTTCCACTGTACATTTGTTTCTTTTTTAGGATCTCAAAGACAAGTGACAGGGCAGGTGTGTGATGAGCAATATGGCTATATGCTATGGGAAGATTTAAACTAGCACTACATTGCCTTCCTTGGCCACTGGAAAGAGTAGAGCCATACTAGCATGGAGATCTCTGAAAGCAAGCATATGCTGCTCCTTAACTCTGCTTACTAGACTAGAGAGTTGTACTAATACAACTCTATTGCTCAGGGTATCTTGAGTAGCTTGTCTTTGCTTACACATTTCTTGTCTGTGTTCAGAGCTGTGGATATTTCCTGGGATATAATCTGCATTCGCATAATGCAGAAGATCAGTAGCACTGCCAGGTGAGCGTTACAAAAGCATGCTGCATATCTGTCACTGCATCTTAGTGATACATTAACCACTGCATCCTGCAGATGACAGATCTGCATAGGATCCTTCTGATTTCCAGCAGGACAAGGCTTGAGCTCTGCAGGGGGTCATTAGAGCTCAGTCCTTGGTAGCCTCTGACTCTGTAGAAGGCTGCTGGCTTTCAACAAAGGACACGGCAGAGAGGACTTATGAGCTGTAAGCGTGACCATAGAAAAAGTAGTTGTCTCTTCATGGCAGAAGATAGAAGGTTTCTTTGCCATCATCCCTACTCTGTACCTGGACTTCCAGATCTTGTGACATTCTAGGGCACTTGCCTTGAAGTGGAGCCCAAAGCGCATGATTAAATGTGACCCCCCTCCCTGTGCACAGTGCACTCAGTGACTGACTTCCAGTAGGACATGGTTACTGTGTGTTTATGTGCTTGCTATAGACAAGAGAGACAAGGATTCATGGACTCCTGTTCATCTGGAGATGGAGGGCCTCATATGAAAAGTGTCAGCAAGCTGACTCATGGTACTCTGATATACATTTACTCAGGAAGATTCATCATGGCTTACTTGTTTTTCCATCTCCATAATCTTATAGGTGAACCTTAAGATGCTCTAGAGAGCCTGAACATGACCTTCGTTTCTCCCACTCTGCTGACATAACTACTGGGAAAAAATGTTTAGCGGCACGGAATCCATTTTGCTTGAAGACATCGGACAGTGAGTGAAACACAAATAAATGCAAGTCTTGATTCAGTGATATCAGCATCTATGAAAACACTCTAGCTCTGGTGAAGATTTCAGCTGCAAAGGGCTTCCTGTAGAGACCACAGAGAAATTAACTAGTGAGCTGATGATGCATATAGCTAGAAAATAATCTAAAATTAAAAATTAATTCAGTTTCATCAGTGGCTTCCTGAAAATAAGCAATTAATTATTTACTATTAATAGATATATATTTATCATTTAGCATTGCACAGTTCAGAATGATCTCTGGTACATCATTTCTACATTAAAAATACCTCAAACACCATTGCAGTCCTTTTTGTTGTTTCCTCTCCCAGGAAAAAAAACAAAAGTCAAAGACTTGGAAAAGACAGAAACTGATCCCCATGCTCATTTCCACTTAGCACATCACAGAATGAAGAGGAAGCATATAGGTGAAGAACAATTCATCATCACTCCAACCTGAGCCTTGGCTTATAGCGACGTGGTTCATTGACAACCCTGGCCACTAGCTGTGACCAGTTTTTAATTGCAAGGAAGGTGGCAGAGCATAGTTAGAGATAAACCTTGGGAAACCACTTCCAGTTTCTTAGACTCCCTCACATCTGAAGCTTAATTATCTTTCTGTCAGAGTTTTGGATTTTTGCTTTTTGTTGTTTTGTTTTGTTTTTTTTTAATCCTTAACATTGTAGCTCTAGGCATTCCCTATCCATCTCCAGGCCTTTCTGGCATCATCGTAAATCCTTTTCTTCAAACACAAGTTTTACATTCTGGCCTTAAAATGCAACTGTGGATTATGCATTCATTATACTTCCGAACACAAGCAGGATCAGCCCTTGTAAGTATTTGGATAAGGGACAGCCTTTGAAAGCCCAATATCCTATGGGAAATGCTACGGCTGATTCACCAGGTGCCAATATTCTGTCTGGTAATTTGCTATTGGTACTCTTCCAATTAGCAGTAGGAGACATAACCGCTACTACTTCCAGCTGCTACCTGGACTGCCTTTCTTATCTGCTGCCTTTTCCTTCTCCTAGCCTGTTTGTCCTCTTGTATCTTTTGAGAGAATCTGCAACAAGACAACGGCTTTAGAACACTCAAGTAACCTTAACTGATGAAGCTGCAAGAAGGGCAGGTAGCATATCCTAGAGATAAGGCAAGGAAACAAACTGAAGAAGGCAGTTTTTCTGGATAGAAAGCATCCGGGGTGTGAGGAGGAAGGTCTGAGCTAGCAGAGTGGCTGCTCTCTCTGACAGGGGCTGGCCTGTTTGGGGGGACATAAGGGTGCGTGTTATTCTCAAGGCACCGGCTGCACCTGCCAGCTGGGGAGAAAGGCACAGATCCTGCAGGGTTCATGGACGTTTATTTGATCCCACTGATTTGAGGGGATGACCTGCACACGCGTTGGCGTGCAGCCCCGACTCCCCTGCCTCCCTCCCGGTGCGGCAGCGCATGTGAGGCTGCGGGAGAGAGGGGCTGCCGGGGAACAGGCACCCAGCCCCGCCGGCCCAGGCCGCGCTCGGCGGCGGGGAGGCCGGACGGGACAAGGAGCCGGCCCCCACCTCAGCTCTGAAAAGCCCCGAAAGTGCCTCCCAACCGCGGACGCGGCCACACCGCCCAACCCCGCGGCGCCTGGAACCGGCCGAGCCTAAACCCCAGGCGCACGCCAGGCCCAGCCCTGCCGCTTGCCGGGGTCAGGCGAGCAGGGGCTGCTCGGCGCTCCGCCGGTCGCCATGGCAACCGGCCAGGCCTCCAGCGCCGCGTTCCTCCCGCGGGGGCAGCTGCCGCCGCAGGGTGCGGGTCCGGCGGCGCCCGCCCCGCTCCCCCCCCCCGGCCGGCAGCAGCCGCCACCACCTCTCCTCCCGGCGCCGGGAAGGGACTCGGGGGCGCGAGGGGGAGAGGCCGCAGCCGCCCGGCTGCGCCCGCGGCGGGCAGGGCCAGGCCCGGCTCCAGCCCCGCTGCGCCACCGGGGCCTGGCCGGGGCGGGAGAGAAGAAGGAGGAGGAGGAGGAGGAGGAGGAGGAGGAGGGACTCCGCAGCGGCAACAGCTGACGTGTCCCCGCCATGGAGCTCGGCGTGATTCATCAGCGGCGGCGGGGCGGCAGCGGGGTGCCGTGCACCGCTCCCGCGTAGGCACAGCGGCGGCGGGGGCAGCCCCGGCACCGCTCTGCCCCCTGCACCGCCCTCCTCCTTCTCCTCCTCCTCCTCCACCTTCTCCTCCTCCTCTGCACCCGCGGCTACACGAGTATCCCTGGAGGAGCCAAGATGGAAGAAATCCTGCGAAAGCTGCAGAAGGAGGCGTCGGGGAGCAAGCACAGGGCCATCAAGGAGAGCTGCACCTGGGCCATCGGTAAGGGGCGCGGGCAGCAGAGCCGGGCTGCCCGCGGGGGAGCGGAGCGGGGCAGCAGCCTCCGACGGAGAGGTTTTGTAACCTGCAGGGGCAGGGGGACCTCGGCAAACTTGTTCCGCGCTGGCCGCTGAGGCTCCAGCGGGTGGGGAGGGACCGGAGCGCTTCAGGCCGTTCAAAACGCCCGAGAGCCCCGCGGTGCTGGAAGGGGCTGTGGCACCTGCGGGCGGTCCCGGAGAGCATCCGTGACCCTCGCCTACCCCTCCTCCGGCGTGTGCTTCGTGGGTCTTGCGAGGCAGTTACGGGTTATCAGTAGCTATCCGTTTCTGTGTACGTTAAGAGGGGGATGTCTTTTCTCTAAAACCCCCCACCTCCTTCCTAAATCGTCGTAAAAACCCCTCCAGTACAGTTTTCGCTGCTGGCTTACGTTCAGGCATCTATTTTAAAAGCTGGGTTTTTTGGACTGGATTCCATGAGCTCTTTTATCCTTGCTGTATAATGGAAATAATAATCAATAAAATGAGTTCTTTTAACAGAGTATGGCCTTAGGTATATTTCAGCATGCACCCATTTCCAGAGATTGGCTGTGGCTTGAAGTGCTTTTGATGCGAACTACCTGGAACACTAGTCAGCAAGACCCTTAACTTACATCAGCATAACTGTGATACTTAAAACTGCTTCAAATTTTTATTTTTCATCCATACATAGTTACAGCAATCTGTGGTAGTTCATACCTGTTGCTGTCTTATTACTGGCCTTTCAACTTGATGTTCCATGGATTGCTTCATCAGTTGTGTGTTACCCTTGCACAGCAGCCATGCTAATATCCTCTGTACTGTTCCAGTTTTAGTATATGTGCTGCTGAAGTGCTGATATGTGAACAGTAGTTCACTGAGGAAAAGATGGTACTCGATGCCTTCTCATTGGGTACCCGGTGTCCTGACAGATTCATGCAAAGCTTTGTTGACTTGGAGCAGCAGTGGTTGTTGTTCTGTCAGCTGGAGTAGGTATAAACATCAGGATTGTTGGTTCAGAGATTGTTGACAGATGTGTTACTGTGGTTGAACTCAAAAGTTTATTTTAAAAGCCCTATTCTTTACTCTGATTATACAGAGACCTTGGATTCTCCTGATGCTGCTATTAGGATACCTCCATATCAGCTAAGGTAAGAACATTTAATGTTGAATCCTGTGAGTATTTGTAAAATTGATGTAAAAATTTGAATTAAAATTGAGATGGACAGAAGAGGGGGATGAATGTATGTGATTTCTTCAGTTTGTAGATATACTCATCTAGGCTGGTAGTAGTAGATAATTTGCAGATGAGCCCTTGGCCTCTAGCCATGAATGAAATGTAAGAAAATGTGTTAAAATGGGCATGAGTATATATATATGACGGTGACACTTGGTTAGAAAGGAGGCTGTCTTACGGTCTGAAGGGTTTTCCTTCTAGATTACAGCCTTCAGTATAAGTGATGATACTTCCCAGTCTTCTCGGTGTGTTTGTTTTCTTTTAAATCTAGATCAGTTTTTGTTTACTGAAAATAAATATTCTAGAAACTGAAAGGTTATGTCATCATATAGCTAGGACACTGGGTAGGAACTAAAATGATACAGTTTCTATGCCTACTTCTTCCTATAGTCTGCTAGGTTATCTTGAGTAAGCCTTCTTCCTGCCTCCATTTGTACACCTGTAAAATGGGGGACATGGTACTGCCCTCATTTGTAGAGCTATTTAAGATCTCATTTTGGAAATTCTGTTTGAAATGGTGAAAGTAAATAGGCAAAAAGTATTCACTGTTCCTTCTGACAGAACCATTAGGAAGCATCTAAAGAAACTAACAAGTGCACTGTTCAAAACAGGACACTTTCACACAGCTTATAGTTAAGATGTGAAATGCTTAGGCTTGCCTTATTAGAGAATATAATGGATGCTAAAAGTATGTATGTGTTCAAAAAGCACCTCAGCAAATCCATGGAAGAAACTGAAATCTATCAGTAAAGGTACCCCTTCTTATTCAGAAGTACTTTAGTCAGAGATGATTGAGTTTTTAAGAGAGTATGTAGGAGGGTTGGTATAAATTTGGCCTGTCCTGTAGTCCTCCTAGATATCTACTATTAGCTGCTGACAGAGGTGACACTTTTTCACCACAAAATTACTCTCCAGGGAGATTTTTATGACCTCATTACTCCCAACTGCTCCTTTCAGATATGCCTGCTGCAGCTTTGTGCAAGGAAAATTAGGGATTGAAGAGCTAGTTATTCCAGAGCGGTCACCAAATAGGGAAGGAAGAAGAGCAGTTCTGCTGCTGCTCTAAAATCCTGTCAGCTGCAGTCCACAGGGGGCCTTAGTCAGTGGGGAATGGATGTAGCACAGGTCTGATGTGACCAGTGCCAGACACATGCATTTGCAACACGGATTGGACAGCTGAGAACAGCTGGATGAGTAATTCCCAGTAGCTCCATTAGAATTAGTTTATGTTTACTTGGCACCATGGTTGGAAAAAACTTAGCTCTTTATCTTCTCATTTATCACCCTTCATCTTTAATACAATGTGTCTCTCTGGTTTTGAGTACTGTTCTCATTCCCTAATAGTTAGTTAGCTGTTACCACATTTCTTCCTTCTTCACTTGCCTACCACCTCTTTACAGATATGCCTACCTTCTTCTCTTCTTTCTCCAACGTTCTTAATGTTTGTTTAGTTGTGGGCTGTTTTTCCACTGTCAGTCCTTATCTTTTTAAATAAAGCTAAATAAGCTGTTAAGTCTAATGTAACGTTAGACTTGTTAGTAACAATGTACTCAGTATTACTGGATGTTTCACAAAATGAAGGATGCACTAGAGAATTTGAATAAAAGCTTTGGTTGTGGGATACTTGGTATGGTTCTGCCACACACCCTCAGACAGTGTGGAAGATGATGCTGTCAGCAGTACTCTGAGCTTACTCTTCATTTTCTGCTAACAAGCTCCTGCCAGACTCCAGATCAGCATACTGGACCACATCTTGGTCTGGAGTTTGCCTGCATGATGTGCAAATTAGATAAAAGTTCATCTTTGCTTGGTATTTGTTCAAGAACAGAGCTGTCACGGCTTAGGTTCCTAACACTGTGAAAGAATAGCCTTGAAAATAGAGCAATGACAATGACCAGAAATACAGCCAAGAGGTGCAGGATGGAGACATCCTGACAATGCTCCTTGCCTGCTTTCATCTTTATCAGGTGCAGATTGTATCAATTGCTGTAACAGATCAGACCCTGGCTGCTCATCTGCTTTGACTCTGCCATTCACCCTTTCTGCTGTAATGTTTTTGAGTGTAGTAGCAGATCCTAGGAATATTTTCTGGAATATTCCATGATACTAGAGTTAGACTGAAGGTATGTATAATCTTTCCATGAAGTAACCCTAGTCCACAACTCAGATCTGAGATCCATAGTGGCAATATACTGAAAGTGTTGAAGGCAGTGTGGCAAATAGTTCAGGAGAAAAATTCATGTTTGTGAGGTCTCTTCCAAGAGCAGCAGCTGTATGAGTATTTTGAATACTGTGTGTGCAGGGAGAACGTTCCAGCTTGTTTAGTAGGAAAGTTTGGTGTATCTTTAGAATATACTGGATACAGGGAAAGGACATCAGCCCTTCTCTGTAGTACATTTGGGGAGGTTGATGATCTAGGGCACATCTATACTGCATAAGAATGGGGGACAGAGATTCATAAGCTGCCATGTCCAGTTGAGATAGATACTGGCTCAGTTTCAGAAATAGCAAATCTGGTAAGTACCTCAATCAGTATTGTTTCTGTTTCTCCACAGAGCAGTGGTGTCTGGCTTCCACTAGCAAGTTGTGCTAGTGTTACTGCCATTTAACAGGTTGGCCATGCCCTAAAGTTCGTTTCCTTCTGGAACTGAAGAATGAAGTCTGGTCATGAGAATTCAAACATGTAAACTGTATATTTCCTTTCTTTTTACTTGTAAAATAAAGGGCCATTTGCTGCTTTTGACATCACAGTTCAAGTAGAACTTGAGTAGAGGTTCTTCATAATGTTTTCTTCTAAGACCTTGATCCTTTCGTGAGACTGGGGAGGACAGGATATCTCTTTGCATTTCCTTAGGCTATGAGTAGTTGAGTTCAAGTTTGTTTTTTACATACTTATCTCCAAAACACTGTTGGGGTAGATTACTTTTCTGTTCTGACTTGCTCCTGACCTATCTATAGGTTCCTCTCTTGTGTTGGGCCTCTGTTACTGAAGCAGTACCAGGCAGGCCACATTGTAATTCCCTGAAGTCTGTGTAATTAGTCAGGGGGTTCAGCTGTAGCATTTGTATGGGAGCAGTTTTCAGCACTTGTCTGGTAGCAGTTTAGATAGCACATGCCTGCTACATTTGGGAGCACATGGGGTAGTTTTGCCCCAAGGGAGTGTAGTGACTGGACATTCAGCCTGGAATGTCATTCTTTAATTAGTTTGACAGAGATCTGTTGGGATCTTCAGGGAGCCAAATGAAACTATTTTGCTGTTCAGCTTCCTTTGATGTTAATTGGACTCATGAATCCAAATCCCAGTTAATGACCTTGCATATTAATTCTCGTGAGGGCCATTGTCTAAGTGTCTCGCTTCCTAAAGAAATAAAAATTTTCAACAAATATGTAGTTTCCCACAGAGTCCTATCAGCTCTGCCTTGAGATAGGAATATGTGTGTGCTTAGACAGTCCTTTAACTTGTGGTCAGAGTATTGGGCGAAGGTATGAAAAATAAAGAAGATTGAAGTGGACCAGGATGGAAATGACCTTAAGTTGGTTCAAGGCTTTGCCACAGATGTCCTGCGAATTCTTGAGAAGGGAGAGTCACATAACCCATTGGTAACTGGGTCCATTGTTGCCTGCCTTGTACAATGATGTTTGTCTCTGATGAAGGGGCATTGTGAAGATTGGATATATACTAAGTGCTCAAGGAGGCTGGATGGGTGACCTATAACTAGTGAATTAGATAAAAGGAATTGGTGTGCTGGTGTTTTAGTTGGTGAATTGATCACATGGAAATAGCTTAAGAGACCTTAATGTTGTCTGCCAGCAATCAATTGTTTGCTACTAAGTTGAACCTCATTCACTTTCGTATTTTCAGGATGACAAATTCTGCCCTAAGGCAAAGACCTACACTGAACAAGTTTCTTTTCTTGGCTAATTCTTGTCCAGTTTCTCCATTGTGATTTTAGAGGCTGAAATATGATCTATAAAATGTAACTGAACAGACACAAGAAAATGAGCCTTGAAAAAGAATGTTTGATCAGAGCAGTTTAATACTCATGAGGATTATTTTCATACCAGAGAATAAAATAAGAGGCTAGACAGTGCTTGCCGGTCCCATACCACTTTGAAAAAACTCAGGTTTACCAGAATTTCTTGGAATGCTTTATGTAATTAAGTCATGTCTTATAGGCTATGTAAAACTCAGTGGCTTTCTGTCAGAGTGGACTTGGTGCTGAGGAGGTTGGTTGGGACTTCTGAGGGAGGCTGTTGCTTGGTGGATAGTTTAGCTGTTGTATTTTCATGTTGCTGTCCTCACTGGAGCCTGGAATTTTATATACAGAATTTCTCACGACGTCCCTGCCGTTCTTTACTAGAATTTTTTTATTATTATCCTAAATGGATTTTTCTCATAGTTCGAAAACATTTCCTGTTATTTTCAGGTCTTACTACTATCCTGTCATTACTCTTATTTTCTTCTGACCAGAACAATGGCAATTTTTGTCAGTGTAGCAGAAGCATCACTGTAGAGGTGTTTGAGCTGTTCGGTGGAGCTTGTGTGGCTGTTGTCTCTTTACTCCCAGAGAAGTGTGTTTGAGCACAGAAGATGTATAGGCAAAACTCTCAATAGTATAAATTGCTGTTCACGCTAGTTTAAAGTTTCCCCAGTGGACTTTAAAGTAATGGTCATGAGACATGTTGATGAGTGAGGCATTCTGGCATAGTAACTGATGTAAGTTGCATCCCTTCAAAGAAGAACCAGAAAGACTTTCCAAATGCTTACCTGTCTCTCCAGTTTATCTGTATACTGCATATCTCTACCTAAAAGCTGCAGGAAGTAATTGAAATTGAATGGAAGTACAGGCTCAGGCCTTCAGGGCACCAGTTCTGGGTACCTAATCTGAGAAATACAGGTCCTGGCTTTCAGAG